ACCTGGGCTAGTTTTGAGCCCTTGCAGGATGTAGAGTTCAGTGCATGAGAGGTTCTTGTAGTATCAGTGGTCATGGATATAGGGTTTAGAATAGACCTTTTATCATCATAGACAGTATACTAAAATTCTCCTTTAATGCACAGTCTTGGTCAACAAAAAGCAGTCCAGGAAGACAGCTCTGCAGCAACTGCTTACCTGGGCAGATCCCTTTACCTGTTTGGGGATGTGCAGCAGTGCAGGAGCTCTTCACAAAGTTCCAACTCAGAGGGCTGTTTCACTGCGTTTGCTTTGGCACGGGACAGGTCTGACCTTGGGCAGTGAGGGTTATTGGCCACTGTGGTTAACCATGGTGGAAGGGTTTTTTAACAAACCACTAATCGTGAATGTTAACAATTTAGTTAGTTGGGATTCCTTAAATGTTTTCCTTGTGATGCTGCTTGAAGTAATTTGAGTGCAATGTGTGTCTCATTATGCTCACTCTGGAGTAGTAAAAAATCCGTTTAATCACTAGAGGTAATTCTAGGTTTCTCTGCTGTATTTGACATTTCTTGTGTGTCTCTAAATTGATCAGGATCTCTCCACTATCTCTCCTTCATCTCTTCATGGTGTACATGGTATTAGGAAAGGAGCACTTGCAATGAAAATGTTCTTTTGTGGCATGGTTTGTTTCTGCATATGCATTTCTTGAGAGGATTGAGAGGAATTGATGAAAAAATCTGACTGTGCAAGAGAATAGTGGATTTACTCCATGTTGAAAATGATTCTCAGTTTTGAATCTCTTTTGTGTGGACGAACACCACCCTAATAGTGTTTACAGAAATAGAATTGAGGTGAAAGGGTGAAAAGTGATCCTTTATGAGGGATTTTTTATCTATTGCCTTTCTGTGTAAACTACCACACTCTGTTATCTTTGTCTGAAAGAAACCACTTTTTTTTTTCTTTCCCCTCTGAGTGAGGCAACAAGAGGAGAATTTATTTTAGAAATTGTCTGAGTTCCCAGCATGTTTAAATAGTCTTGGCAGCAGGATGCCTCTTCTGGCGTTATTCCACCAAAAATCTGCTCTCTGGTAATCAGTTGTAATTCAGTCTGCTCAAAATTGCAGAGCGGGCGGTTGAAGGGGTGCTAAACGTGTGCCACCTGCTCTCACGGTTGGGTGTGCGACTGCCCGGCTGCGGCAGGGACACAGCAGCAC